GTGTTTTTCCAAAAGGACTGAGGAAGATCATCATAATTGCACATTAGCATTTATTGCAGAGGAAATAAAATATTAAACAGCTGCAGTGGAATACAAATCTATGAACAATTTAGCCCAAGGGATCATCTTGATGTGCAAGCAGAACAAGCCTGAGTGAAATTAACCACATTAATCTCATAAAGTGACCACAATCTCAAGCAGAAACAACCTCTTATAAAGGCCGACTTAAAATGCACTGCTTACTATTTTCTACATTTCTATCATATGCAACTGCTGAATTTGAGCAGGGTATGCATTTTTGTTACAAATGCTGCTAACACTCCAGGGGCATCAGTAGACCCTTTTCACTAGGGCACGAGTAAAAATGTCAACTCTATAAAGTCTCTAAATATACTTTCCAAAAAAAGAAAGGATATGTGAATAATCAATCTCAAAATCAGGAATGACAAATTTGTTGAAATAGGGTTGTCCATTAACTAATCCACTGATGATTAATGCGTATCTTGAACTTTGAAGAAGGATATAGAACTAACCTTTCAGGGAAGCTTATCTAAATAACCTGCTAATATCCCGTTTAAAAACAGACTATTTGCTTTTCCAGACGCTGCCCAGTTGGCAATAGAAACATATCTTTTTGGGCAGTGTTGAGTCAGTGGGGTGAAATGCCATGGTTCTGATGTGCAGCTTGTGCTTTGAACATTCATTTACATCAGAAATGCAAAGTAAAGGGGGCAGACATCAAATACACGCAGCTCAATTGAAGTCTCTATTTTGTTGTTTGTTTGTGTGTGTTATCAAGGCATGGAAATGGAACTGCCTGCTGCACAGCTAAAATACTGGCATCGGTAGCACAATGTCAGTTCATTTCTCTAATAAAAGCTAAAATGATAAACACATTTTCTACTGCTGATATCAGGGACATTGGGGAAAAAACTGTAGAAATAGACTTGGTCTTATGACTTTTGCGTGTGGATGTTTATTCAGCTTTGGTTCAGACTGAAAATTAAACTGAAAAATGTCTTTTATGAATAGATTTTGTTTCATTCTAGCCCCAGATTTTTACATCTCAAACTATGAAAAGCCATCAAAATTTGACATGCATTTTAAAAGTATAATCGAAACAAAGTTTGAAAAATTATAATCCATTTTAATGGTTTAGTGAAAACATTTCAAAAATTGACAAAATATGACATATATGAAGTAAAAGAATATCTCTTGTGAACAGAATATTTTTGTGCCATTTCATGCTACATTTTTGTAAAATGTATGAAATGTAAAAATTACCATAACTATATTGTGTATACTTAAGATACATAGCATGCTAGCTATGAAATAGTCCTTCCCTATTTGTTCCGAAAATATTTTCAAATACCATTTCCGTCATCATCAGTTCCACCACAGTGTGCTATTATTAAATACAATATATCATTTGAGATGTGGTGAAATGACAATATTCATGACTTTCAGACAAAATGATGTAATTCTCCTGTCATATCTATCTGCTGTTGGACTGTGGTGGCAGACCACCAAAAATGCCAAAAGTTGAAGAAATACACATTTGTATAACCAGTTCAAATTGAATTCGTTATTTATTAAAGGCATTGTCTTGAAAATCTTTTAAACATCTAAAAAATGGCAGAAAACCAGCTCTCTGCATTGTTGTGCGCAATGTGCATCAGACAGTCCATGAATGGTCCGTGGGTGGTTTTGATCTGTTTCATATATATATTTATAATGAAAAACTTTCTAAGCTGGCTAAATTCAAAAGGCAGACATGGTCATCAAATAGTTAGGCAGGAGGTGGCAGAAACAGAAAGCCAAAGAGAAGGGAAACATAATGTGGGGAACATCATATCAAGGGATCGCAAGCAAACCAAAGGTAAGCCTCACAACTCCACAGGTGAAAGAAATGTTAAATTAACTCTGCATCCCTTATACGCATACAGAAAACATAAACTGTCCCGTCGCCGGGGCGGGGTCGCCGAAGGGACGTCTCGTTTGTAATGATTCTTCTCGCCCACGGTTCCTGTTACGACTTTCATTCCGCGGGGCGGAGGCGGCCCGGGGCCCCCGGCCCCCCCCCCCCCCCCCCAGGGTAAACAGAACAGAACCAGCATAAATGTATTGCAGATATAGTTAAAGTTCAATAATTGTATGTACACATTTTAGAATTAGTCTGATTCAAAGGAGAATCAGAAGGCTGAATCCTGACTGACAGAGGAGGAGCTGGGGATGGAGAAGGGTAATTAGCTATTGAGCAATGCGAAAATTGCTGATGATACTGAGGGACCTTATATATGAATGCTTAGATAGGTGTCATATTCCTAAAGGTAGATGGGGATCAGCTGAGAGTCAGCAGATGCGAGCTTGACTAACGTGACCTGCCAGAACTAACGCTACGCTTGATATATTATAAGGCAATATATAATTGTCACATTCTCTGGGTAGATGATGTTAGTTTATCATATAAAATCCCCATAGTAGTATTTACATGTACATATGTTAATATCTATATGATGATTTTTTTTATATAGTATTAAATGTAGCAACAATATATAGCAAAAGTATGATTTTAATATTTATATTTATATATGCAACTTTACTAAAGAAACAAAATAAAAAAAATGTGTTTATATGTTTTTGTAATTTTAAATACATGTCTATTCTATCTATCTATTTATATATCTATATACATATATAAAATCAGCATGTATTGCCAGGTTTTAGAATGGATATACATGCACATGACAAATATGTCCAAAAATGTATTACACATATGGGCTAGATATGTATGTTAATGTATGAAACTGTTCCAGTGTCTTTCATATATATTTTTACTCCATTTGACAATATATTTATCATATTGAAATGTAATATATGTAAATTTTACATGTGCATATGAACAATGATGTTGAAAAAAAAGGTCTTTACAAATATTCATCATCTGCCCAAAATGTAAATATGTCCAACTCCGTCAAATCAACCACTTCTTATTCAAAATTTCCTTCTCAACATGTACAATGACATACCACCATTCAGTCAAATTATTAAAAGATTTATTAGCCTTGATGCAGGATTACGAGTCTAGACTACAACAAACTCGCTTCAACAAAATAACACTGAAATCAGAAATCAGACAGGTACATTTCAACACACAGGAGTGCATGCAGCAAATCACAGCTTTTGAAAGAGATACTTCCGGTAATGTCACTGGCTCAAATCAAAGCACATTGTTAAAGCATAGATGAGACTAAATATGTTCAAATGACTCCTTTTGCTCCCTGCGATCCAGTGCCTTAGACAGGGAGAACAATACAATTGAATGAAGATTTATTGTTGGACAGCATGATCTGCCAATCTTCATTGATATAATGCTTTAGGATGCAGCTGGCTGTTTGTAAGCAGACTTAATATGTTGCCTAATAACTCAAGAGGCCTGTATGAATATATCTGCAATGACCTTAGGCTGCAAGAAAATACCAGCAGGATGATGACCCATATTCCAAATGAATAGTCCAAGGAAACTCATGCTCAACATTTTCCTCTCCTTCTGCTAGTATGTGGCAGAATAGCACCTCCAAACAAGAGAGAGCAAACTTCTCCCGGATACACTGAACATGCAAATGCAGTCCATTTGGAGATGGGTTACAATGACAAGTGAAGAAAAGAAAGAATGTTTAATAAAATGCAATGTACAAGACCGCTGCGGAAATTGGAACAGGCAAGGTGTATAGTTCAAAAGCCATTTCAGAATCAGCAACTTGTTAAGATCTGGCAACCTTCGTTTACATAACCATATCACAGTGGAATGAGAATGTTGCAGTCGTGCCATACGGGCATGTTTGCGCTGTGCTTCAGAATACTGTCGGCAGAAAGAAGGAGAGAAAGCAGCCGCTGCAAGAGTACAGGCTCTTTCATTTGTGCTCTTGCATAGATGCACATCATGGGATGTGACACTGTCCACGCCCAAAATGCCATCATATACAGTATATACCCTGTGTTAATGGATAACTCGAAAATATTGACTTGCACTTAAAATACAAATATACATTGTATAAACATTTTCTGTTAAACTCTCAAGTCAGTATGCAATACATCGTCATATGTATTTGTTAAAACAACTGTGACAAAATGATGCATAATGCTGGATAACATGGAGACAATTTCTGTCTCATTGTATGAAAGGTTGCAATTCAGTTGATAATTTAATAACAGGGCATGTATTTTAATGCTAAGCAATACTGAATTATGAAGTGTGTATTAGAAGTTATCGCTGTTCTTCCAAATAATAACTGGTGTAATATGTAAATAGTCATCAGTGTTTATTTGTACATCTACAGTGTTAATATTTGAGGTCATGCATGTAGAACTGTGCAGCCATCTGAATTTTACATGGCTATATTGTTTGTTGTTTGATGCAAATGCTGTTTAAGCTGCAACATTATGCACCAGTAAATTAAATGTCTGTATCTTATTCCCATTGCTGTAAATAGTGCAAGTGCCACCCAAACATTAGATTAGTTTAATTTCTAAATAAAACACGTTGCTTTAAAGCTGATGTGTGTTTTGATGTTAAAATGCTTTGTTTTGTTGCATATAGTGTGTCTAACCTTGAGAAAAAGTACACTTTAGCATACTTTTAAATAATATATAAGTGCAAACTGAATTTCATTTCATTAATGTCTTTAAAATATGATTAAAGTGTATTGCTGAATGTACTGACAAGCATTTATGGTAAACTAAATTATACTTTAATGTAATCGAAATATGTAAATCAAGTATTTAAAGAACATATTTGTGAATACACATTTGTGATGAAGTTGCAATATATTATACATAATAATAAAAGAATATATATATATATCATATTGAATATAATCATGTACTTAATGTATAATCAAGTACTTTACATGTGCTTTAATATGTTAGTCAACACATCAAAATAAGTGTACTTCTTTAAAACACAACAAAAAATTATTAAAACATAATGATTTAAAATGGTGAATTATTACAAAGTGAACTTTGTAAAGTGTACTCTCTTTAAGTATACTTACTACAAGTACAGTTTTTTTTATTAAACACTACAATGGCTGTCAATACAATTAAGTTTACTTCTTTTTCACAAGGGTAGACATGCCATTCTCAGGTGGAGTGAGGTTGGGGCAGGACTATGACAGAAAATGGGAGAGTGTATTTAAAACAGTTTGAAAACAACAGAATTACAGTATTTATGAAATCCTCTTGGCTCTGCTACAGGCGCAGAAATTACACACTTCGCTTTTTTAATTAGAGCACTTCTCTCATGATTGACAAAGTGCCTGTGGCATTTTTTCCCTCTTGGCAATATTCACGTGTTTCCACAAACCATTTAAACAGGGATAAAATCAAGTAGTTTATATTTGAATCAGTGCATTGGCGCAGACTTGTAGACAGAATTTGAAAGAATTCACAATTTTCTCATGCAACCAACTGACTAGTCAACTAATAATTCTGTATCATTTCTGTCGGCTGATCAACACTTTATGATCGCTAATGTTTGTTAGGGGTCATTGACAGAATATGCATTCATGCTAGACACAACAGAATGAAACAGACCGCAAGAATCTCAATGTATTTTTCTGTAAGCAACTCCTTTTAATTTGATGTCTTAATAATGCTCACGGTGCAAGATGCTTAAAAGACATCATGGAAACACCCTGTCTGCATGTGAATGGCTGTGTTGCCGGTGTCTTAAAGGCGATGGATTTGAAGATCGTGCAAACTGTCAAACAGCGCTCCGTCAGCATGCTAATTCAAGCACCACCGCTAAAATATTTAAAACGACTAGCCTAATCGACTAGCCAGATGATGACCATTCTCACACACCCATTTACATCTTGCAATGAACTATGCATATGTGTCCAGCCAAACCAAAGCATACTCTTTTAGTCAATGTACATGCTATTATCTATAGATTGGTTATTCATATTACATTGTATCGTATGGTTCTCAGCATTTCTGCTCCAGTTCTCGTGGAGTCCAGGAATGAAAAGAGCCCACAGGCAGGCAGAGCAAAGTCTTCAAAGCTCTGAAGGGCATACAAAATATGCAGAATGCAGAAGTGGCTTTGTGAAGTTGAAAAGAGTCAGCGGGGATCAGAAGGCCTGGTCCTGATGGGAATTCAATGTATTGTTTGCTCTTACGCGAGGCAGAGGGGAAAAGGACTCCGGTTTGCATGCTGAGAGAGCAGTCATGGTGTCAAGGGCAAGATCAGACACCAAGATCCAAACCGTCAGTCATGTATGAACAGCTTACGAATGAACAAAACGTAGTCAGGATGACAGTGTATACTGTATGTTGTTGCAGCCCTGTCCCAGCTCTCATCTGTTTCAAAACTGTGGAGGTGTACAGGGCTGGACCGGACCTCAGGTTGAGTGTTATTCAGGTGTGCTGGCGATAGAGTTGGGGGTTGAGTTCAGCACTGGGTTCATCGGCGGTATGGCCTTGTGACTGAAGTACTCCACTACCTGTTTAGGCACCTCCGCTAGGACACACTTTGCCAGTGCAGCTGGTGAAGCCTGCAAAAGTCACACATTTATTGGCCTCCATGAGGGGGGAAACATTAACAATAGTGGAAAAAGAGCAAATCAACCAAATTCATGGTAAATTGTGTTCAAACAAAGGCATGAGGAAAGTACAGTTTGCAAGTTAAATTGTTTGGTAGAGAGCCAAGCTGCAGGCTGTTGAGAGTATTTACACATTTTTAATCCTCACTTCTCTAAAATTACTGTTTTCTCTTTTTTTTCTGGCTGTGTATATCAGTGGAGGGAACAAACAGCTCTTATGGAGAAACTGTGAAGCTCTAAGAGCCATTTCTGTCCGAATGCACCACTGGTATATTCTGATTTGCCTCACTGCCTGCTTCATTCACCCACGAATCATGTCATTTATACAAGGCATCCATGGCTCCTTTTACAAGGTGTTAAAAGTACTTTTCAAATTTTAAGGCCATAAAAAGTATTACAACATATTAGTTTTTGTTTCAGATAGACAGTCGTCACTTTTTATTTACCTGCACCTAAATGTCAACATGTCTGCACTTATCTAATGATGTCTTTTAAAATATTGTGCGTATGTATTTTCTAGATTTTTACTGCCTATGAAAGCCTGTTTCCTCACCAGAGTAAAAAAATAGAATTGAAAAAATTGCAACTTTTTAATTATATTATATTATATTATATATAAATGTATTATATTCTTAGTTTATGTCTCAAAATGTGATCTTATCAAATTTATCTCACTTTATGTCAATTATGTTTTTTATACTTTACCTACCTATTTCTTATAGGGTGAGGATGAAAATTGCAAACATTGTTAATTATTTTTTAACTGTTGTTTTTTTATATTCATTTATATTAATTATGTATTTTCTAGATTATTACTGTTTATGAAAGCTTGTTTTCTCCCCAGAGTAAACAGAATAATTTATTTTTAATTCTTAAGCGTAACTCTGCAGATACCTTCTTTCCAAGTACAAGATCTACAGGAACTACGGGATCTACAATAAAACATCTACCTTCATTTTCAAATTCCCAATGACCAAGAACTGAGAAAAACTGACCGTTTTAAAGTCTCTGAAGGGCACAAACTGGACGATGTCCCTCAAGACGGGTTCCCCTTTGGGTGAGCGCAGGACTCCATCATCCCCATCAAGGATCTGCATGTCTGTGAAGTCGGCGTTTCCCACTCCCACTATAATGATGGACATAGGTTGATAGGAGGCCCGAACAATGGCCTCCCGTGTATCGGCCATGTCTGTTACCACCCCGTCTGTGAGGATCAGTAGGATATGATACAGCTGGCAGAGAAAAGGACTGTTATTAGTTATAATGTCTGATTTATACAAGGTTATAAACATGTCTGGAGCTTCATCCACTAAGCATTCACTTTCAAGGAAAAATGGACATTAATGGAAATTGTCATTACTTACTGACCCTCATGTTGTTCTAAACCTGTATTCTCATTTTCAGTGGTACAAATCAATTTGTTTAGCATAAAAAGCCCCCAAAAGGTGCAAAAAAATCACCTCGAATGATTCTTTAAAAATGCTACTGAACAGAAACAATAACATAATGTGGGTTTGGAATAACATGAGAGTGAGTAAATAAACTGAATTTTAATTTATAGGTGAACTGTTCCTTTAAATGTCTAGATAGTAATGAACAGAATATTGGATACCCTTCTAAAACAGGCAGTCAGAGGGCTAAAATTAGCAATATTTACTGGCCTGAACATCCCAGAGGTCCTGTCAACATTAAACATGCAATATCTACAGTTTGAATGAATGGCCTGGTTTCTGAACATTGATCTCACTGAGCTCATTTACTGAAAAATGATCACTTTTGGGGAAGGGGTTTTGTAAGATTAAATAATAAATGAAGATCATCACAAGGACATAGTGTGTAGAAGACAGAAAAGAAATAGAGCAATGAGTAGATAATTGATAAGCTTGAGGGCAAATATTTGACCCGAGACCATTAAATGACATGTAAATGGACTTAATATAACTCTAAATTGATTGTAGCTGTGTTAATTACCAAAACAGCCCGCGAGATAATCAGCTAAAAAAAAAACATTAAGCGGTTTCATTTGGGCCTAAATTCAAAGGTTATGTGAACAAAACCACAGACAGAAGATAAAAACCCAAAAGAATAGACAGGGGCAAAATCATTAAACCACTTTAAAGAGCAGCATGTCAGTGCAAAATCCATTTTAAACTCACTTTTCGCCTGCAGTCCAGACACTAAATTCATGTCACCATGCATATTTCACCATGCATACTTACATTGAATCACATAAAATTAAGTCCTTTCTTTGAAATTAATTCATTTCATTGAAAGGACAAACACATGTCTTTTCAATGCAAATTTGGAAAGGGTAGAAACCATCACTGCTATTTGCATGATGCAATTAACCCTGCAATATTACTGAAGCCGAACACCTTATTCAGAAAGGCGCAAATAATGAATTATACTGAATATTCTTTAGACTGATTATCCAACAAGCAGAAGGATGAAGTGATATTTTTAACAAATATTTAAAATTGCAGTACAATATTGAGTCTGCGAAGTCAATGTGACTAAAGTCTGAACTTTAGAAAAATGCACATGCAGTTCTGAAATCCAATCTTTGAGTAACATTAACCTATACTAGAACTTATGCTGTTATCATTATATATCTGATTCAAGCAGAACCTTTTTACCATTAGATATGTTAGTAATAAAAACATTTTAGTTCCCTATCTGTCGGTCACTACGAGTTATGTCTTGACGACATGGGGGTTCACTTGGGAGCCCCAATCCTCTCTGACTTTTGAAGAGAAAACGCCAATGAAATTTGGCTAGAGGAATTTTTGCATACCTGAGCCACTCCCCATGCATACGGGTATAAATAGGCGAGAGGTGCATTCACTCTTCAGATTTTTGCTTCAGAGCCGAGTGGATGATAGTGCTTGACCTCTACAAAGCCCTTTACTCATCTGACTGGAAGAAGCTATTCCTGGTTGGCGTTACGGTGCAAACAGCGGTGTCCCTGTCATCAGCGATTCCCCTGGGCACTTCAACTGAAAGAGCAGTTTCTCTAAAAGAGCAAATCACGGTCGGTTTGCGTCTTTTTAAAGATGCCGTTCCATCCGTGCTCTCTTGGTTGCGGTCGTTACCTGTCCTCTGTTGACGGACACGATCGTTGTCTTCCGTGTCAACGCCCGCCTCGGGTGTTGTCACCACCGCCGAATCAGACCCGGAGCTGACAGTCCTGCTTGCCCAGGCAGCCGTGAGCATCGGGCTGGAGGTGAACACACCGCTCAGTCCCGAGCCCTCACGGCTGGATGATTGGTTTCTCGGGACAACCGCGACACCCGCGTCCTGCATCGGTGCCTTTTTTCCCTGAGGTGCATGAGGAGCTAACGAAGTCGTGGATGGCCCCTTTTTCGGCCAAAAGCCACTCGTCTGCCTCCTCTGTCCTCACTACCCTCGACGGTGGGGCGGCGAGGGGGTACATTGACATTCCCCAGGTGGAAAGAGCGGTTGCGGTGCACCTGTGCCTGCAAAACGCCGCCACTTTGAGGAATCGTCCTCATCTCCCGTCATCTGCGCTCGGCGACTGGCTTTGCCCTCTGGGCGACAAAAGTCACGGCGCGATCCCTCGGGAAGGCGATGTCCACGTTAGTGGCCCAAGAACACTATCTCTGGCACAACCTTGCTGAGATGAGAGATGTTGACAAAATTAGTTTTCTTGACGCTACCATCTCGCAGGTTAGGCTGTTCGGCGACACTGTCAAGGACTTTGGAGTCTTCGCACTGCCCCACCCGTCCAGCTGGCTCATTCGGACAGTTTGACTCGGCTATGCGATTCAGTTCACCAGGCGACCTCCCAGGTTCAGAGGCATTCTCGAGACTTCGGTGGCAGCCCGAGATGCCCCTGTCCTGCGTGACGAGATTGCTGTCCTACTGGCAAAGGATGCAATCGAGCCTGTCCCTCCAGCCGAGATGAAGTCAGGGTTTTATAGCCCTTACTTAATCGTGCCCAAGAATGGTGGTGGCCTTTGGCCAATCCTGGATCTGTGAGTCTTGAATCGGGCCCTTAACAAGCTTCTGTTCAAGATGTTGACGCAGAAGCGCATCATCAGATGCATACAGCCCCAGGATTGGTTTGCAGCGGTTGACCTGAAGGACGCTTACTTTCATGTCTCAATTCTTCCTCGACACAGGCCGTTTCTGCGGTTTGCGTTCGAGGGTCGGGCATGGCAGGGTCCTCCCCTTCGGCCTGTCTCTGTCCCCCCCGTGTCTTTACGAAGGTCACGGAGGGCACCCTTTCCCCATTATGGGAAGTGGGCATCAGGATCCTCAACTACCTTGACGAGTGCCTCATCATGGCCCAGTCACGAGAGCAGTTGTGCAATCACATGGATCAGGTGCTCCAGCACCTCAGCCAGTTGGGGCTTTGGGTCAACTGGGAAAAGAGCAAACTATCCCCCATGCAGAGGATCTCTTTTCTCGAGTATGACAGCGTGGCTCACCAGCGAGCGTGCCCAGGCAGTGCTGAACTGCCTGAGTTCCTTCAGAGGCTCCTGGGGCATATGGCATCCGCAGTCACAGTCACGCCACTCGGATTGCTTCATATGAGGCCACTTCAGCACTGGTTACACTCCCGAGTCCTGACATGGGCATGGCGTCGCGGTACACTCCGCGTGACCATCACGCTGACGTGTCGCCGCTCATTCAGCCCCTGGACAGACCTTGCCTTTCTACGGGCTGAGGTGCCCTTAGAACAAGTGTCCCGACATGTCGTGACGGATGCCTCCAGTACAGGCTTGTGCACTACATGCAACGGGCAGGCAGCCTCGGGGCTCTGAACGGGGCCTCGACTGCTTTGGCACATCAACTGCCTAGAGCTGTTGGCAGTGCATCTTGCCTTACGGCAGTTCTGGCCACTGCTACAGGACAAGCATGTGTTGGTCCGCACGGACAACACTGTGGCTGTCTCGTACATCAACCGGCAGGGTGGTCTACGATCATGTCACATGTCACAGCTCGCCCGTCATCTCCTCCTCTGGAGTCAGACACGGCTCAAGTCGCTGTGCGCCGTCCACATTCCGGGGGAGCTCAATCATGCAGTCAATGCGCTCTAACGATAGCTCACGTTCCCCGGAGAATGGCGACTCCATCCCCATCCGGCTGATCTGGAGTTGATTTGGGGAAGCCCAGGTAGACCTGTTTGCTTCCCATGAGTCCTCCCACTGCCAGCTGTATTACTCCCTGACCGAGGCCCCCCTCAGCACGGATGCACTGGCACAGCTGGCCTTGGGCTCTATGCAAGTATGCATTTCCCCCAGTGAGCCTTCTCACACAGACCCGGTGCAAGGTCAGGGAGGACGAGGAACAGGTCTTGCTGGTTGTGCCTTACTGGCCCACCCGGACCTGGATTTTGGAACTCATGGTCCTCACAACAGCCCCTCCCTGTCGCATCCCTCTGAGGAAGGACCTCCTTTCTCAGGGGCTCGGCACCATATGGCATCCGCGTCCAGATCTCTGGGACCTCCATGTGTGCCTCCTGGACGGGACGTGCCAGACTTAAGTGATCTGCCACCGGCGGTGGTAAACACGATCACTCAGGCTAGAGCCTTTGCCCTGAAGTGGAGTCTGTTTGTGAACTGGTGTACTTCTCGACGAGAAGACCCCCAAAGATGCAATGATTGGAGTAGTGCTTTCTTTCCTGCAAGAAAGGTTGAAGCGTTGGCTGTCACCCTCCACCTTGAAAGTGTATGTGGCTGCTATCACAGCACATCACGATGCAGTGGATGGCCGGTCCCTGGGAAAACACGATCTCATCGTTAGGTTCCTGAGGGGTGCCAGAAGGTTAAATCCTCCTAGGCCACCCCTGGTGCCCTCCTGTGATCTCTCTACTGTTCTGGCTGGCCTTCAGAGGGATCCCTTTGAGCCGCTGGACTCAGTTGAGCTTTAGTTATTGTCTGCTAAGACAGCGCTCACTTCCATCAAGAGGGTCGGGGACCTCCAAACATTTTCGGTGAGTGAAGAGTGCCTTGTGTTTGGGCCGGCCTACTCTCACGTTGCCCTGAGACCTCGGCCTGGATACGTGCCCAAGGTTCCCACCACACCCTTTCGCGATCTGGTGGTGAACCTGCAAGCAATGATTGGAGTAGTGCTTTCTTTCCTGCAAGAAAGGTTGGAGCGTAGGCTGTCACCCCCCACCTTGAAACACCTGGTTGAGTATCCTCCAGCACCCCTGGCAGTCAGACTGGGATGGAGCAGTCTGACGCCAGGCCCAGTATCAGTGTTAACTTGCCCGGGTTTCCGGTCAGCCCCTTTACTGGGCTAGGTGTCCATATGGCTTGATTCCCTGTGGGCGATCCCATATGTGTATTCTTCCACCGTAAAGTTTCCCTCTCAGTGAACCTATGTCTTCCCTGACAGACCACTCTGTCCGTCTCTGCTGGCAGCCATTCCTCCCTAATCCTAGGTAGGACCTGCCTCAGAGACCCATTCTATATGTAGTACTGCCCCAGGCCTGGGTCAGTCCATATCAGTGTCTCCACATGATACCTCCCTACGGGCAGGATGTGGTCTCTGTAGCACCCTTCTCCGGAAGGCTCACTTCCCCTTCGTTACTGACAAGCTGTAAACAACAAACAGAAAAGGCATGAAGCACCTTTCATGAAGGTCGAAATCCCTTCTCTTAAGAAAAAAATTTAAATCATAGGAACAGTGGCTTGGCTATCTCCAGCTGCGATGTACTCACCTTTTGGGCCCTGCGGGCGCAAAGCTCAGTGAATTTGCGCTGGGGCATTGGGAAGGTTACGAACTTTGCGTAGCATTTGTCTGACATGCGGCTGCTTGTCAATATTTGCAGTGCTACAGGGTTGTGACAGGGTTCAGGTTGTGGCCCTTTCCATGGACCCCCTATGTCGTCACGACATAACTCGTAGTGACCGACAAATAGGGAACATCTTGGTTACGTACATAACCCTCATTCCCTGATGGAGGGAACGGAGACGTTATGTCCCCCTGCCACAACCTCGAACCATCGCTGGTTGCCAGGGACAAGTTCTCGGCTCTTCAGCATAAAACCTGAAGAGTGGATGCACCTGTCGCCTATTTATACCCGTATGCACAGGGAGTGGCTCAGGTATGCAAAATCCACTAGCCAAATTTCATTGGCATTTTCTCTTAAAGTCAGAGAGAATTGGGGCTCCCAAGTGAACCCCCCTATGTCATCACAACATAACGTCTCCGTTCCCTCCATCAGGGAACGAGGGTTACATACGTAACCGAGACGTTCCATCTAAAATATGGTTAAAATTTAGTTTCAGATTTAAACCCTGCCTACATTTAAAGCTCACTTCCATCAAGAGGGTCGGGGACCTCCAAACATTTTCGGTGAGTGAAGAGTGCCTTGTGTTTGGGCCGGCCTACTCTCACGTTGCCCTGAGACCTCGGCCTGGATACGTGCCCAAGGTTCCCACCACACCCTTTCGCGATCTGGTGGTGAACCTGCAAGCAATGATTGGAGTAGTGCTTTCTTTCCTGCAAGAAAGGTTGGAGCGTAGGCTGTCACCCCCCACCTTGAAACACCTGGTTGAGTATCCTCCAGCACCCCTGGCAGTCAGACTGGGATGGAGCAGTCTGACGCCAGGCCCAGTATCAGTGTTAACTTGCCCGGGTTTCCGGTCAGCCCCTTTACTGGGCTAGGTGTCCATATGGCTTGATTCCCTGTGGGCGATCCCATATGTGTATTCTTCCACCGTAAAGTTTCCCTCTCAGTGAACCTATGTCTTCCCTGACAGACCACTCTGTCCGTCTCTGCTGGCAGCCATTCCTCCCTAATCCTAGGTAGGACCTGCCTCAGAGACCCATTCTATATGTAGTACTGCCCCAGGCCTGGGTCAGTCCATATCAGTGTCTCCACATGATACCTCCCTACGGGCAGGATGTGGTCTCTGTAGCACCCTTCTCCGGAAGGCTCACTTCCCCTTCGTTACTGACAAGCTGTAAACAACAAACAGAAAAGGCATGAAGCACCTTTCATGAAGGTCGAAATCCCTTCTCTTAAGAAAAAAATTTAAATCATAGGAACAGTGGCTTGGCTATCTCCAGCTGCGATGTACTCACCTTTTGGGCCCTGCGGGCGCAAAGCTCAGTGAATTTGCGCTGGGGCATTGGGAAGGTTACGAACTTTGCGTAGCATTTGTCTGACATGCGGCTGCTTGTCAATATTTGCAGTGCTACAGGGTTGTGACAGGGTTCAGGTTGTGGCCCTTTCCATGGACCCCCTATGTCGTCACGACATAACTCGTAGTGACCGACAAATAGGGAACATCTTGGTTACGTACATAACCCTCATTCCCTGATGGAGGGAACGGAGACGTTATGTCCCCCTGCCACAACCTCGAACCATCGCTGGTTGCCAGGGACAAGTTCTCGGCTCTTCAGCATAAAACCTGAAGAGTGGATGCACCTGTCGCCTATTTATACCCGTATGCACAGGGAGTGGCTCAGGTATGCAAAATCCACTAGCCAAATTTCATTGGCATTTTCTCTTAAAGTCAGAGAGAATTGGGGCTCCCAAGTGAACCCCCCTATGTCATCACAACATAACGTCTCCGTTCCCTCCATCAGGGAACGAGGGTTACATACGTAACCGAGACGTTCCATCTAAAATATGGTTAAAATTTAGTTTCAGATTTAAACCCTGCCTACATTTAAATATTATAGTAGATATATTCACTTTGAAGTGGAAAGTCTTGATAAAAAAAAAAATTCAACGATTTTTTTTACATTTCAAATAGTAAAAAATAAAAAGATTAATTTGTTTATTTATTTATAATACATTTTTATGTTATTTATAGCTACAAAAATCTAATTTGCTGCTTACTGATAGCAAGTAAGGTTGTTGTTGTAGTAATTACGTTTAGGTATGTTATAACCTGGCACTTATCCAGACACATGATGTAAAATGCACTTTCTACATTTTAAAGTATATGAATAACATTGGTGGAGAAACACTGTACAGTCTCAGTGAAGTATACCAGATCATGATAGTCAGCTGTATCTTCCACAACATAGAATCCACTGAGGAATTTCCCCATGCAAATAGTCAACAGAAACCTTTTGTGGCCGTGTTTCCGCCAATACCTGATTGCCTAATTCCTTTGTGTTTATTTTTAATGAATTTCCCCTTCAGTGCTGTGCCATAAACAGAAACTTTAAAGCAACTCACAGAAGCGTCTTTGATGGGTTCTTTCCCAGCCGCCAGCTTAGCTATTCTGTTGATGATGGGAGCCACATTAGTGGGACCGTAGAGCTGGATCTTGGGCAGGCAGTTTTGGTAGGCTTCCACGACCCCCTGGATCTCTGATCAAAGGGAGAGGGGACAAGGCTATCACTTCGGTTCTGGAGGCTTATTTGTATTTCTCTCTCTGTCTCGAAAGGCTTCTGAGAGCAGTACTGAAGTATTGGCAGCAAAAGCAACAGATTCTGGGATCAAGAGACTGACTTGGAACTCTCCATCTTCTGCAGAAACGTGAAAGGACTGAAGCAAGCATGAGATTTGCCACAGTCTTCACACATTCTCTTTGAGTGTTAAAGGAACTGTTCACCCAGAAATTAAATTCTTTTTAATACGTGACTGGGTCATTATTTACTCACCCTCATCCTGTTCCAAAACCATATGACTTTACTTGAAGCCTTTATGTATAATGCATTATAAAGGTATTCATAATGTATTTTACAATGCATTATAGCTTTTCACAAATAATTGTAACCAAAGTTAAATGCATAATATTTGCAGATTCCTTGTTACATCTGAATTTGGTTGTTTGTCATGTGCATTATGCATTATACTTTCTAAAGATGTAACAATGAATAGATAAGTATATTATAATGCATTATAACTGTGGTTACAAATATTCTAAATATTCTAGATCATACAATGAATTATAAGGTACATCATATAAATAAAACATGTTATAATCATTTTAACCAAAGTAAAATGCATAATAATATTAGTAGATTCCTTGTTACATCTGAAACTGGTTGTTATGTGCATCACGCATTATACTTTCTAAAGGTATAACAATGAATAGATAAGTATTGTAATGTATTATAACTGTGGTTACAAATATTCATGATCATAAAATGAATTACAAGGTGCATTACATAAACAGTGCATTCAAAAACAATGAAAAAAAAATTATAATAATTGTAACCAAAGTTAAATACATAATAACATTAGCAGATTCCTTGTTGTATCTGAAATTGGTTGTTTGTCATGTGCATTATGCATTATATTTTCTAAAGGTGAAACAATGAATAGATAAGTATTATAATGTATTATAACTGCATTACACAGTGCATTAAAAAAGCGTTTATAATGCATTGTATAGAAAGGCTTTAAGTAGAAGTGTCACTAACTTTTCTTCGTCTGTGAAACACAAATGCAGAAATGTTGAAGAATGTTCTATTCACTCTATTCCATATTAAAACAGTAACTGGAGTCTGAGTTGTTTAGCTCCAATATAACATGAGCATTATAAATCTTCAGAAACAATATAGTATGTGTGACTTACAGTCTAAAAAACAGCCTAAACCCCACTAAAATATCCAGTTTAAACTGGTGTGTTTGTGTTTTTAAGCATGGCAGCTGGCAGGTGATCACCTGGTCGAACAACTACCATGTTCCAAAAACCAGCTTAACTACCTTGAGCTGGTATAGCCAACTGGTTTGTTGCTAGTCCAAGATGGTCAACCAGCTTGTACCAGCAAATGAGTAGCGTAGACTAACCAGCTACCAGCTTCCAAACACAGTTAGGAGCTTAAACTAGATTCTCCAGCCATCTCATTCACACTTATGCCTTTCGACAGATTTACTGTGAATTGATTGGTCTGGTGACGGCAGGTTTGATATCGTCATTGATGTCACCATAACATTGACATCAAACCTGACTCAGCCTTAAAGGCACGTAATATTTGAATGGATGTTGACAGTAAAGGGCGAGATTTTCTGTAAATAGAACATATTTGGATCTGTTCTTCACACAAAGATGGCTTCAGGAGAAAGTGGTCCACAAGTCATATGGAATCGCTTTTAGGAAACGTTTAAAGTTCTTTTTTGAAAAGAATGGCCATTCCTCAAGATTTCTCCTTTTGTGTTCCACAGAAGAAAGAAAGTCATATAAAGTTTAAAACATCGGTGAGGGTAAAAGTAAATGATGACAGACTTTTATTTGTGAGTGAACTTTTCCTATAACTGTGACTAAAGCTTCAAAAAAACTGAGTGTCTCTGTTCCGTTCCCATGAGATGTTCCCTCACTTACTAACATACAAAGTGCTTGTCGCTCTCACCTTCACATTCATCATCCTCCGGGTTGAAATTGATGGCAAAGTCATGAGACACCTGTAGTTTGGAGAAGAAAAACACACAGTAAGGCTTTGTTTATCCAGCTTCAGCTTGTTTAGCATGCTAATACACACCAGTTTTCTGGTTAAAAACCTAATTCAAGGTCATAAATCCTGCTGTTAAAGGAAGGCAATAAATTATGCTGTGAAACATTTGCATGTTTCTAAGAAAAATACTTTCTGCAACACTATGCATGAAATGACCCATCGGTGAGGGTAAAAGTAAATGATGACAGACTTTTATTTGTGAGTGAACTTTTCCTATAACTGTGACTAAAGCTTCAAAAAAACTGAGTGTCTCTGTTCCGTTCCCATGAGATGTTCCCTCACTTACTAACATACAAAGTGCTTGTCGCTCTCACCTTCACATTCATCATCCTCCGGGTTGAAATTGATGGCAAAGTCATGAGACACCTGTAGTTTGGAGAAGAAAAACACACAGTAAGGCTTTGTTTATCCAGCTTCAGCTTGTTTAGCATGCTAATACACACCAGTTTTCTGGTTAAAAACCTAATTCAAGGTCATAAATCCTGCTGTTAAAGGAAGGCAATAAATCATGCTGTGAAACATTTGCATGTTTCTAAGAAAAATACTTTCTGCAACACTATGCATGAAATGACCTGATGATGATGCTAAAACAAAATAGCATCCTCCCAACAGATTTTCCATTGTAAGCAACAACCACTGTGGGCCCGCTCTGGTACTTTTGTAGCACACATTTCATTGCAATTGATTTTCTTTTGTTGACACAGACATTCTGAATATAATTATAATTATTATATTTCGTTGAAAAGGAAATAGAGCTCAGCTAGTGCACTGCAATCTGCCTGAACAAACAGAGCATAAAAGGACAGTTTACTGCAAGCTGTTATTATTTTAATTCTTTAAGAATAGCCCTTTTTCTGTAAAGGTTGTTGTTTCATGAGAGTCTGTAAATAAAATTAATAAAGTTATGACTTTGCATATTTGAGATACACTGTGCCAGAGACTGTGGTTTGCTGATCCGACTGGTCTACCAAATATAAAAGATGGTAGATACTTCCACATTTAGAAATTCTATACAGACAACCCTTTTGAAAAAGAAGTGCACTTAATTGTATTGAATGTATATATATATATATATATATATATATATGTGTGTGTGTGTGTGTGTGTGTGTGTGTCTGTGTGTCTGTGTGTGTGTGTTCGCATATAACAATCTTAATGAAGTTAAAGGCCACTTAAGTGTACTTAAAGAAAGAACACTTTAATGACTGTAACCCAATTAAGTACATAATTCATGTCAAATTAAAGGTTTTACTTTAAAGTACATTTTTAATAATTTGTTTTAATAATCTTTTGCCATGCTTTAAATTTGACTTGCATATTAAAGCACATGTAAAGTACTTGATTGTAATTTTAATGTACTTCAATATTACATTTATTACTATGTACCAAATTGCAACGGCATCATTACAAATGTGTAAATACAAATATATTTAAATACATGACCCACACATTTCAATATAAATTACATTAAAGTGTATTTTAGTTTACCATTAATGCTTGTCAGTACATTCACCAGTACACAATCAAGTAAACAATAGAAGGAATTACGAAATTACATAAAGATGTACTTAAGTACAAAAGCACTCTTAAGCATTTAATATGAATTTAGACTGTATTACACTCTTATTTAATTAAATGCAATTCACATGGAATTAAGTCTCCAAAAACAATATATCCAGTTTGAAACAATACACACTCATATATTCTTTTAAAGTATATTATTTCTGTAAGAAGTACTCTTTTTAAAAGTATGCTAAATGATACTTCTTTTTTCACAAGCGGTTGTATTCACTGTGTATCTGTTCATTCTTCTCACACAGACTTTAGTATGCACTGCAAATGTACTAACAAGCATGTATGCACTAAAATATACTTTAATGTCAGTTCTGTTGAGACTTTTAAGCCATGTGTGTAAATATACTTGCAATTTAGTTGAACATGTGTACTACTATTTTTCTTACAAGGGAGCACACGTGAATCTACATAAAGTATATAAAAATGGTCTTTTACCTCATAATTAGGTGGAATTCTTGCCCCAAAGCCCAAAGCAGAGAATCGTTTGTCACTGGGATCAGATAAACACATTCATTAGTAAATAAAACAACACATTGGGAAAAGAGATTAAAGAAATAAAAATAAAAATAAAAACACCTACAAAAAAGGGCAAAACAGCAAATAATGTAAACACCTCATAAATTGGCAATATTTCCTTATTAAAGTGTTTTACCATCATTTGAACTTAATACAGCTTCCAGCCTAATTAAAATAGATTTAGAATAATTTTGAATTGTCTCCAGTTGAATATTGTCTATAAAAACATCTGCCAGTTTAGAGATGCTTAAATTAATAGTCATAATTGTAAAGTCTGTTGCTATTAACACACCAAACAGTTGGGCTGTAAAGGTTACAAACGCTCCTGTTAAACAGGCTCTCATGAGTTGAAACTTTTTGAAAATATATTTCACCCACGGCTTGAACTAAACACATACTATATAGACAATGAAAACACATTTACATTTACTCACCATCAAGTCGTTCCAAACTTGTATAAGTTTCTTTCTTCTGCTGAACACAAAGATATTTTGAAGAATGTTGGTAAGTCAACAGTTACCAGCAACTGTTCAGTTACTATAATTCTTCAAAATATCTTTGTTTGTGTTCAGCAGAATGCTGGGAACCAAACAGTTGTTGGCCATTGAATTTTATAGGATGGAAAAAATTACTATAGAATTCAATAGCTATAACAGCAACTGTTTGGTTACCAGCAGTCTTCAAAAAAATCTTCTTTTGTGTTCAGCAGAAGAAAGAAACTTATGCAAGTTTGGAACAACCTGAGGGTGAGTAAATTATAAAATTTTCATTTTCGGGGGAACTATCCCTTTAACCCCTACAGTAATGGATTTTTACATTATTTTGTCCAAACTCTGTATGTGCAACTCTTAGGTCCTTTCTCAAATATTTCATTCATCCAAACCCTTCCACATAATCACACACACAGGGCTTAGTATCAAGAAATACCCCACCACCAGCATAACAAGTCTCAAATATCAATACGGCACTAGGGTGAACATGGTGTACTGCTGAGGCCAGAGGTGTGTGTAAGATCATCATATATATGGAGAGTGTTGGAGGGATGAAAGAGACTCCAGAGGGAGAGGGGAAGGCACAGACACAGCAGGACAGCAGATCCACACAGCTGATCACTCAACAGGCGACAACTCACAGCCGTGTGGCGGAGAGAGGAAGGGTATCATGGGGTCAGAAGCAAAGAGGCGTGCAGTAGAGAGCTGAGACATGAGAAACACGATAACCACAGGCACAGAGCTTGTCTTTCACTTGCTAATGAAAGCTAGATGAGGTAGCACCATTCTGATAGCTGTCACCAGAGGCCACTAATGCCGGCCAATCAATGCCACTTTCTTTCGCTCCAAAATCTGAGGTGTGACTTGAAGGAATTGCAGTTGAGCCAAGTGTGTGTATCTTTTCGCAAATAGCATTAATGAACAAAGCTAGTGCAATAATCCACTAAACTGAATGTGCAGAACTTTTATTCACAGCAAGGTCATTCCTCATTCAGAACTGAATTGAGAACATTATTTAAATTCCAAATCAGTTGCTGAATCTGAGTAGAATTTAAAGTGAGGTAGCAAACAGGAAGCAGAATAGCGAATTGAATATGAATGTAAGTATTTAATTAAAAGTAAATTAAGAATGAAAATGAATTAAAATTTCATAGAATTCCATATGACTAATGTTTAACTAAGAAAGACAAACTTTGAATGCTTGACAAAGTCTTGTTTAAAAAAAATGTAAAAGTTCTAAAAGTCTTTGAAGTTTAAAGATTTTATAGGCCCAAAGAAGAGAAGACTGATAAGAAAGATAGATTTTTATTTAGTATTTCATCAAATAAATTATCCTTTGTGAACCAGGGTGCAACAACAAAATTTCCCAGAATGCATTATGCATACATTTTTTTGCATTAAAGGTGGGGTAAGCGATTTTTCAAAAACGCTTTAGAAAACTGATTCAGGCCGAATAGCAAAACAAACTTGTAGCCAATCAGCAGTAAGGGGCGTGTCTACTCATGATGTGGAGGAGAGAGCGCTTAGTGCACAGGACTGACATTAGCAGAGCGAGCGACAGAAAGATACACTGTAAAAAAAATTCAGTAAAATTTACGGTAAAAAAACGGCAGCTGTGTTTGCCAGAATTTTACCGTAAAAAAATACGGTAGCAACGTTTTAGGTTTTAACTTAAATTTACAGTTAAATACCATAATTTCATTAACTGATATAATGTTAATATACCAACCTATTGAAGTACTGAAATACGTTTTGTACCTTTGTAATACACTGATAATTGTAATACCAAATGCTGGGGGTGATGAGAAACTCTCATGATGAACCAAAGCCCATCACAAGCAGCTTTTAACTAATAAAAGAATAGAAGGTTCACAGTGTCATTCACACAAACGCTAAATACCATCATGGTAACACACATGAAACTGAAATAATGCAATAAACATTCATTTAACACACAAACCTAATATACAAAACTGATAAGAAAAACTAAGAAGAAACATAGTTATTTCAACAAAAAAACATAACATTTTAAATGTAATGCAGGGAATTCTGGGAATGTTAAATTAATGTCCAATACAGTTTTTCACTGTATGTAGTAGGGGAATTTAGGTATTTACTGTAGCATTGTTACAGTCTTTTACCGTTAAATTCACGGTAATTTTTTACAGTGTAGAGATGACGGATAAAAAACAAAAGAGGAAAACATCTACAGAACAAAAGAAGGCTTAAGGCAAGAAGTAGGACCCGTGTAAATATTGGATCAGCTTTCCAGCGCTGGAGAGAACTCAAGAAGCGGAAGGCCTGCGATCGGACGCCGAGGTTGCTTTGTTTCTTCTCGATAGGTGAGTAACACAGTGTCTGCACCACAAGAGCTAAAGTATGTCTACACTGGACAAAGTGACAGTTGAAAATCATTTGAAATTTGTGTCAATATGTCATAAATAGAATGCAGCAGCAGTTTTCTGTTGGGGATTTGTCATGCCGCGCCGCATCCAGTGTAGACCATAGATATGTATATATATCTATGGTGTAGACAGCATCACTGATTATAATGAGTTCTATAGTATTTTGTCGCGCCGTGCCACTCGCGTCCAGTGTAGACACGGTGTAACATTGGTTTTGCTTTGTTTCACAGAACTAATCGTTGTCTGGGTTGCGTACATATGTGTGGGGCAGAGCTATCAAATTAGGGGCGAGACCCTTTTGGGGTAGGGGCGTGTTTGTTTTGGTGATTTCAAATGTCAAAATTGGCTACCAGAAATCTCTTACCCCACCTTTAAGTAAATGTATAATCTTTATGTATAATGCATTATAAATACTGTATTACATATAAAGGCTTTAAAGTTACCTAATAAACTAACTAAAATAAAATATTTAAAAAATTTACATTTATTTTACTTCAGCTAGTTTCTAGTTCTAAGGCAACATTTCTCGTTTTTAGTTAGTTTACATACTAAAATAATTTTAAAAAGCCTAATCAAAAAACTAAAACTTACAAAAAAAACATAAAACTATTACACATTTTAACTAATCAAAAAAATACTAACATTTAAACTAAAATTACAATGAAAACTAAAATATATTTTAAAAATCTTAAACGTTTAAAATATTAACAAAAACTATAAAAGTATATCAATAATACAAAAACACTGACAGAGACATGTGAAACCCACAGTTTCTAAAACGGCCAGAAATGAAACATTATCAAATAAACCATACTCACTACCAATCCTCACAGCAGATCCCGTGACTCTTAAGCATATGGATTATCAATGCAATCTGTCTAAAAAAAAAACATCCTACTCGCTTTCCTGCGATTGGACAGAACTCTGGACCCATGTGTTGCTCAGCTGATTCTCCTCACATTAACATGTTTGGTTGCCTGAAGACATCATGCTGTGACAGCTATAGAGAATGTTCCTTCAAGCTGATCCACGAAGAGACACTAATCACTGACATAATGTAATCACCATCTCCATAATCACATTTTAGCTAAAGTTAACGAGAGCTATTTGGCTGTGATAATTTGTTTAACATAGTGAAGAAAAGAGTGATTACTGAGATACGCCCATGAGAAGATAACATGGAGACAAATATTACAGCTGTTCTATCCTTCTTCAATTCTCGACTTCCAGTCATTTCAGGCACAACTAAATCCAAACAAGATTGCCAAAATCTGTACATTTTTAAAGGCATCAACAACTTTAAGAAGAGCTTTTTACAACTTGCTGGATAATGGCACGCAAATCATATTTACATGGAAAATACACTTAAAAGGGTCATACTACGAAATAGGCACATTTAAAAAGGTGATTTTCATAGTAAATTGTCCACTTTTTGGATGATTGAAAGAAAGATTATGGCCCTATTTTAACGATGTAGCACGTGGCGCAGGTGCACTTAGGGCATGTCTGAATCCACTTCTGCTAGTTTAATGACAGAAAAACCCTTGTCTAACCCTGCGTCTCAATGTTCATACTATCCATCCTAAATAGTATGTGAGATTAGAATAAGTGTGGATATGAATATGCCAAAAGTCCCCGGATGGTCTACTATTTCAGGTCGATTTTTGAAGTGTGGATCCGTGCACACTCTAATGGCTAATATTGCCCACAATCCACTGAGCTTTGGTGAAGGACTCTGTCCAGAACTACAAACACAAATAAAACACGTTAAAGAACTACAAACATGGCGGATGTGCGCGACCGGCGGTTAGGTAGAGAGGCTTAGAAAAAGGGGTTTGAGTTACTAATATTCAACATTTAACCTGGTAAAAAATATTTATTTAATATTATCTGTGTTATATTTCATCTGCAACAGCAATGTCAACTTTTATAAATATCCGGTTGGTCGTTAACTTTTAAATGCATCATTATGCATAAAATATGAGCAGAGTTCTCGGCATGAAAGACCCACGACTGGCAGATCAATGTGCTACTTCTTTTCTCTCCAATATGGTAGGAAGTTAAATGAAATGCAATGT